GGAACACTCTCAGCATCCCACTTCAAACATGCAAATAACTACTGAATGAAAAATTCATAAAAGTTTTCAATGAAAGATGACGAATGGAACCGACCTGTCACATTGCCAAAACACTCTGGCCTGCCACAAATGCCCAACGAACCAAGTCCCTACATAATTTAAGGAGGCATGACATTCGCATAGTGACTGGAGTTCTTACCAGACATTCCACGCAGTTAGGCTGGGCCCACCCCAGCATGGACGAAGACGAAGAGGAATCACATCTTCTCTGGCATTGCCCGGCTTCGGGAAAACGGAGAGCAAAAGATATTGGGAGTTATTTCTTCAAAGGCATCTGAATGTGTTCACACACAGCTTTCTTCGTCCTTTTTTTTGTGGATTTTTCGTCCGCGTTTTTTCTTTTTTTCAGAGTACTGGCTACAAAAAATCTTGCTACAATGCGCTGAATAAATGTTTTGTCCATGCTATCTTTCTTAGGGATTTTAAGTGATCACAAGTTTTCTTGACTTGCCAAAAGGAACTTCAGGTTGTTCAGGTGTGACAGTTATTGTTTAAGCTTGATTAATTTTTGTGAAATTTTTGCAGGCTTTGAAACATTCGTTTATTATTTTCCCATATAAATTGAATTATATTTTAAAGTAAAAAATTATTAAAAATAAATAAATAAACATAAGTTGCACACAATATAATTTTTGATTTTGATGCTAATTTTTTGACCATAGCTGTACTCATGTACATACATATACTACAAAGCTCTTCTAATAATTTATATGCCCACAAAAACACAAGTGAACTCACAAGAAAACTATACCATAATTCATAAATTTGTTATTACTTACTTTCTTCCACTCACTTTCCGGATAAATATGTTTAACTGTCATTTTAATGACTTACCAAGCAAAGTTCACTCAATTTAATGCTAAAATGTACTAATGAATGTCGTCTTCATAAAACAACTAACAAATGCCTTTGTATTTACTGAACTGAAATTTCATTTTGGGTGATTTACCGCTATCAACTGCCATGCCGCTTACTGTAGGTAATTAAGGATCAAGCTGATTTGCTGCAGGCTATTAAGTTTTTAGTTTGTAGCAAAAGCACTGACATCCTCACACATTGCTAATGTAATTATTTTGCTATTAATTTTATATGCTTATGAATCTGTGTGTATGTGTGTGTGTGTGGGCATGCACTTCAGTCTGCCGGATATGTGAACATTCATATTTTTTGAAATATTTTTTGAACCAAATATGCTATCTTCTTAGTTGAAATTTTGAATGTAGAAATTTATTTGACAATTAGAGATAGATATTTCTTATAGGTGCTACATACATTTCATGGAGATTGTTTATTAAAGTCTATTATTCGTTGTTAAACTAATGAGCATTCTTGCATGAATCGTACCTATAGTTATTGAAATATTCTTGACTTTGAGAAGCAAAGTCTAAATAGAAATGCCATTAATTTTAGTGTATTCATTGTCTCTTCGACTGTACGACAACCGTTTCAAGCTTTATGTAGATATTGAAACTGAAGAAGAACTTAACAGAGCGAATAATTAAATGTAATAAATGCATAGACTTGCATTAAAATATCCTCAATATCATTGGTCCTCTGCAATAGCGACCCAACTCAAAATTCAAAAAGACAAAGCCCTAACTACTCTTAAGTGTGGCATGTCGGTAATGCTTGTCTAAAATAAATAAAAAGAATTAGACATGCATAATTCAAGCATTAGACATAGGAGACACTGAACATAACTGATGATTTTTTATTAATTTTTTTGCATTTTGAGTTGTGTACTTTGGAATGCTAGAATGACACAAAAAAAAAACGCCGAGACACGTAAACTTAATTTTGGGTCGTAAATTGCAGATCTGTATACCACTTTTCTAGATCAGGTAATTTTGCCAAGATGTTTTCATTTGAAGTTGGCATTATGAATGAAAAGGAAATCAAACTTGAACATGGAAAATGTTACATTTGCGCCATATACGAGCATATACGCGTATGACCATGTACGTGGCGTATGAGTAACATTCTTTCCTACTCATACAAATTTCGTCTAAAAATTCATTATGCATTTCCCTCTGATCATTCACAACTTTCTTATTTTTCTATCGATTTTCTTCTTCAGTAGCAAGTTATTTTGAAAAAGAACAGCTTTTTATACCAGAGATCGAAAATAACCGTCATCAAGTGTCTTACATGGTGTTTACCGTGGCATATCATTCTGTGCGATCCTTTTATGTTTTCCGTTGAGGGTTATTTCTCTTGGGCAAAGACACTTAGGCAGCGACTTTTATTTTTAAGTGTCTTAATTTGTGGGTTATTGTAAGACTGAAAAATATAAGTGGGCGTACATAACTGGACTTATACGTACACATACATGTGCAAACATTTACGACAAGGAAGAGAGCGTGCACATTCATATAATGATACACCGAAATTAAGTTATTTTATTTTATTGATGAAGAAAAGGATAAAGACAAAGGTAAAAATAAAAACAAAAACAAAGAAGCGTAAAGATAAATGCATAAATTAAGATCAAGGTAAATTTAAAATTTTTACTTATATAAGGGCAAAGGTGAAGGGGAATACATATGTAGATGTGGAAAATGATAAACATAAAGATGACAAAGATAAATATTAAGAAAAGGATGAGGATGAGTAAAGATAAAGATAAAGGAAGAAAGATTTCGGTATTTTCGGGACTTATCGATATAATAATCGATATTTGTATCGATTTTGTTATCGATATTTTTGTCAAGTTTGTTATCGATTTTATCATCGATATTTTAATCGATAATGTTATCGACTTTGTTATCGTTATTTTTATCGAGTTTGTTATCGTTTGGGTATCAATTTCGTTATCGATATTTTAATGGATAGCTATGTCGATTTTTGTCGATAGTTTTATCGATTTTTTATCGGTATTTTTATGGATTTGGGTATCGATTTTGTTATCGATTAGCAAATTTGATATGCTTCTACGCACTTCTGCGGTAACCTGCGTGCACGTTCGTGGGTAACCGCTGTCTAGCACAAATTTTTCCCCTTCCAGCGATAAGTGTCTGTGTCCAACAGCAACGGAAAACGATATGCAAATAACCCTTTACCACTGAGAGGAGCACACATCTATAAAAAATAAACCACCTGTTCTGTTTTGTGGGTTATTTTTTTTCTTAAATAGTGACGGTTATTTTGGGACACTTTCGAAGTGGAGAGAGATATTTTGGACCTCTGTTTAATACAAATGAAAATGAATCTGTTATTTTTTCCCTGTTAGAATTCTAATCTTTTTTCATAAAAACGAAAATATCTTGAGAAAATTACCCGATCCAGAAACACAGAATACAGATTCGGAATCTACGGATCAAAGTTATGTTTATGTGTTCCGGCGTTTTTTTTTTTGTCATTTAAAAACTTGAGATTTTCCCCAAACAGTGTTATCACTCGTACGCCCGGTAGACCCATAAATTTGAGATTTGGCAACGCAGAAGACAACGAGTATGAATGCATGAGTTTAAAGTAAACGAACCCTTAGAGAATGTTTGTACAAGCAATTTGCACACTCAGCAAAAACCCACATACATACATAATCTCACATGTGTTCGTATGTAAATACATACTGATGTTAAAAGTAATTTATTCACCAGAAGTCGTAAGAAAATTAACATAAACATAATGTTGTGTGTTGTTAGGTACACAAAAAGCACATAAATTAACATCTACCGCCATAAAAACGAATTTATATGCATATTAGTAGTACATCAAAGTGTGCATGCATGCTTGCTCGAATTCAAATATGTACATATGTACAAATGCTCAAATTTTTGTGCGAGCGCAAGCACAACTGTTGAGATAGTAGGTGTTAAAAATTAAAATGTTTATTTTAAAACCTAACAACATGAACGCTCTCATGCACGATGCCAACTGGTTGCTGCACAGTGAATTTTGCTGGTGATTGCGATAAAAAGTCATATGAAAAATTCTGACTGACATTAAAATCGTATTAACATACGGAAAAGTGCCGGAAATGGTAATAAGAAATGTTTAATTTGGCGTGTAAATAAGAAATTATTTAAGTACAGAAAGATGGTTCGCTTGTGCACTCGGATGAAGAATAAAGATGTCATAATCGTACATACATATATATTTATTCTTATGTATATGTTTGTGCATTCGTGAAAACGTACACTGAGAAAAAAGTTTAGTAAGGCAAAATAAATATGTTTCTCTCAACATATGATTTGGTTATAGCCACAGTATTTGGTTATAGTTACCATATCATGTGTTGAGAGAATTAAATTTATATGAGGGCATAAAAAACGTCAAATCAACATTTTATTTCAAGCAATGTATTTTTGATATTTATTTCCGTGAAGAGCTAACTCATGGCTATGCTCTGAATAAAATTTTTAGTATAAAATTTTTTGAGTTTAGTGGCTTCCGGGCGGCATATCATTTATTTTATAGGAAATTTCTGTCTTATTCTTTTTATAAAGAATAAATTACCTTTACAAAACACGATCACATTGAGGACAACAAATGTTTCGATTTATGCGCAGTTAGGCGGCACTATGCGAAGTGGCAAAAATGATAATTCTGCGTCCGGTTCTTGTAGCTCACGACTTCTAGTGTTTACACGAATTAGTAACTGAACACCTATTTAAAAGCGAGCTAATTTCAGAAGTCACACCCGCCCGTAACGGGTTGTGCGGTGGACTTGGGATCCAGCCTCCGCTGAGAACCCCTTTTTCCTGACGACCATGGCAGACATATACAAGACTACGAGTGAGACCCCGTCGCGGTATACTGTCGTTCACCTTATGCCGATTTCGTTTCTACCGAAAAATGCAACCTTCTTTTTGCCCTCTACGCAAAAACGCTAAGAAGAGGGCGATGAGAAGACAACATTTTTTGTACAATTTGCTACAATCCGAATAAAAGGGAGAGTTTTCGAGATCTGCCGACGTCACGGTAGCAAAATCGACAGAATGTCTGATAACGAACCGAGACTGATCATCTTCGCTAAGGCCCGAAAATGTTAGTTTGGAGTTATAAATTTCAAAAAAGCTCCCACGTGGCTGTCTCCGACATTTTGTGACAAGCGAAAATCACGCTTCCAATGTTTTAAACGTACGCACATTCCGAAGGTCAGACATCGACTCGGATCATTTTATCTTGTTGCAGAAAGGTTACGCGCAACTCCGGGTGCTGCTTCTTCTTTCTCATCTTCGTCGACCGATTTATTGTCTATAAAGGCTAGTCCTAAATCTGCATAATTACCCATACTAATTGCTGTTATGCCTCTAAAATATTAAAAACTATTAAGTGGCCACCCGGGTACCCCGGTTATGTGTTTACGTGGTATTTTTTGGTTATGTTTTCTACGATTAAAGACCATTTTTATGTCGAGCGTTATTATCGCTAAGTACTGTGTTTTGCATGCAAATTTAATTGCGTCATGGAAGACCGGGATTTTTTGAAGCCAAACTGGTTGGCCGATAGAAAACCTTTATCCTTTGCGATCGTCGCGAGCCTGTTGCAGATGATTTTCTCAAGAATAATCCCCAGTGTGTCAGACGTTAAGACGAGAGCTCTCCCGGCGTTCTATTTTCCTTGGGTAACAAGAAAGGTATAAGTATTTCCGCTTTTTATGATTGAAACATCCAGTTGTGAGAAAGTTTAAAGCATAACCTCGCTCCTTTTGTTTGTATGACTGCTACCCCATTACGTTGCCCAGGCACTAAGATCCGCCGCAATAATTATAGGAAATTTTCCGTTGGCTTCTAAGGCATTGCATCATTCTTTTGTAAGGCTGGGCCTTGCGTAAAGATGTTAATTCCGTTGGCATGTGATCGAACGAAACCTTCTCCCACTCCATGGGATTTAACTGGTTTGCCGCACAGCTATATAGCTGCCCAGCTGTGGCTGTCGAATTTATGCGGTTCTCTTACGGTTAGTGGGAAGAAAAAATTTAACGTTTCTGCGCTGTCTTAGCTCCACGTCTCTTAATATGTTTTCCACCGTGTAAATGTGCCTTGGGCTATGAAATACATATACATATTTAATCGTTCTTAATTAGCATCACAGCATAGAGGTAACCAGTACATTAGTGAAATATATTTGATATGCTTTCATTAATTGCCGAACGTAATAATTTATAAAATACCGCCCAGCTCAGTTTTACCCTAAACATGTCAATTATGAATAACAGGAAGTGAGTGAGAATCATAAGTCAAAAGCTAAAAGAGCGTGCGTCACGCACCTCTTAGCACATTTATCAATCTAACTTAATAACTCAATTCTACATAAACGGGCGTCCTACAGGCATATTTCAGTTTTTCTCTCCACCAAATTCTAACCCAAACCTCATATTTTATTTAAGTTGACCGCTTCGTTAAATTTCTACCGACATTTATTTCAACACTCTTCCATTATTTGTTCGCCCTTTTCTCACTTCATATTTCTCCTTCTTTTAGGGCTTACTTCGTACGTTACACAGGATAACTTTAATAATGAACAACACCGAAATATAAATCAAAATTTAATTATGTCACCTGCGTCGGCTGGAATTTCCGGCCCCATCGTGACAAATAATTTTAATGGAGCAACAGCGGCACAGCCGCCTCCATTGCCGGCCACGGGCCATGGCACTTTTTATGGCAGCTATAGTGCCGCCTTCACAGCCCCATCAGATATGCCTTATCCGCCCTCTTCAATTTCGGCGTCATCATCCTTTCATCATCAACATCAACTACAGCAACAACAATCACAACAGTTGAATCTACAACAACCATACCATCAAACAAGTGGGAGTAGCATAACAAGTTTTGATTCAGCAAATGTAATTGATGAACGACACCAACAACGCCACTCACATCAGCATCAGCAGCAACAACAGCAACAGCAACAGCTGCAGTTGCAGCACATAGCACGCCCACTACATAGAGTGGTGGGCGTAGGTGGAGGTGGCGAGCACAACAGCCTTGGCGAAGTGGCGCAAGGCAGCTCAGCCGAGAGTGCCAATGTTGGCTTAGATGAAATCTACGCGGCGCCCATGTACTTCGGCACAGAGAACTCAACCGTTGTGACGACGCAAATCGGTGCGACCGCGCACATACCCTGCTCCGTGCATAACATTGGCGATGGCGTGGTGAGTACTTAGATGATAAACTATGTATGTACGTACATATATTTTTTGAGTGCTCTTTTATTTGTTTGTTGGAAAATTTATGTTGCTGCGAAGGGGCGCAGTTAAGCGACAAGAGCAATTAAGACATTCCGGAAACTTATTGTGTGAAAATAGCTAAAGAACGTAGAGTGTGGGCAAACTGTGGACGAAAGTTAATGAGTGCTCAGGGAATAAGCGAAAAAAAATATGGTAAATAGAGTGCCAAAAATAGAGCTTTGTTGAGCTGAATATTTAGATGATGTTTATGGTGATCTTTATAAAGAGTAGCTCGTGAAAGGATGTCATAAAAGTGTTGGGAGACTCTGGGTGTTGTTACTCGTTTTTATGAAAGCAGCTTAATTGGGGAATTTAATAATACAAGTAATTGCATATATGCTTTAAAGACTGCTGGGATAAAAGAATTGCTAAAATGTTTAGAATTTACTGAAAACAAAAAAAAAATAAAAAAACCGCATATCCTTTCGTTAAAAGGTTATGTTCATTAAATATTGTTAATGAATTATTAACAAACTCTGAGAGGAATTTTTTGTCAAATCGTTACTAAGGAACACCTTAAGTAATCATTAAACGACACTGAGTGCGACAGTATGCTATTTGTTAAAACAAAACTTTTGCCAGGAACGAAATTAAAAATTTTTTAAACATCCACAATATTTTCCAGAACTCGTTCCCAGAATATGCTCTCTCCTCAAAATACTGAAATAGTTTATTTACTTTTGGAACTTCGTCGAGTTAAGAGGAGATTTCTATTGTTTTCGAAAATTTCGTATAGCTTCCCGAATTTCATTATGTATATGGAAAGTTATAAGAGCAGCTTTGAATTTAATGTATTGACTTTTATTAGGAGACTATATTTGCAGATTAAAAACTTTGGTTCGGTGAACTTTCTCCATACCTACAAACCTTTTCAATATATGAGACGCAATCTCAGGAGTTGTTGTTCATAAGTTGTACAATGCTCGAAATATCTTTGTTGGCTCAGTTATGATGAAAATAGTTTCTTAATTGATAGTCTAGGAGAATGTCAAAAGATCACTTTCAAATATGCAGCTACATCAAATTTTTAGAGATAAATTTTTTTTTTATATAACTGCATATGTAAATATGCATTTAAATATTTACATAGTTATGAATATGTAACTGATTATGGAATCAAAACCAATTTACTTGCTTTACTAGTCACGCTAAAGTGATAGTCAATCAAGCACCAATCACACCGCAGAATTCATGTGTATGTATGTACCATACATTGGTATTCACATGTATGAATAGGTATCTTTATTAATTCACTCAAATAACTTCCTAACTAAAATGTGCATACACTACCGGCAAAAAGTATTGGCACAGCAAATTTTTCACAATATATGCATATATTTTATTCTAATATTTTTCAGCCAATTTTTTTTTATAAAAATATAGTTCATTCTACAACAAAAAACTTAAAAATGTAATTCATAAACTTTGTGCAAAATTCCCAAAAATTCAGCAAATTTTCATACAAACTTTCAACTTTTTTAGAATTTTTTGAGTATGCAATGTTGAAGCGCATTAAATTCTGGTAAAACAACTGCAAGTGCTGAGTTAAGCACAAATCACATTGATTTTTGAGAATTTTTTTCGTTGAAGGCATTTTGCATTTTTTCCATATAAAATATTTTCGAAAATTTTTTTTTTTATGAAAGAGACTGCGTGAAAAAAATTTGCCAAAAATCAACGATAATTCCTAGCCTAATTTAAAATTTATACTTTGTTATAATAAAATTGTTTAGGCTAGAAGTCTGCATACTCAAAAAATTCTAAAAAATCTGATTAAAAAGTTAAAAATTTGCATGAAAATTAGCTGAATTTTCGTGAGTTTTGCACAAAGTTTAGAAATTATATTTTAATGTTTTTTATTGTAGAATGAACCATATTTTTATAAAAAATTGGCCGAAAAACAATAGAAAAAAAATTGTTGCATATATTGTGAAAAATTTGCTGTGCCAATACTTTTTGCCGGCAGTGTATTTATATTACAACCTATACAAATATGTGACTAGTTTGATATATGTTACAACAATTTATAGGACATACATATATGCTTACCTATCTACATACATACGCGCATACATATTTCATTACGACAAGGGCGTCACTAAGCCACAAACCAAGTGAAAGTGTAAACATTTCCTACGCTGGCCGTTTTGCGCAGCTGAGTGATTGCTGGTGTGATTGAGGCTTTGCCAAAGCTGTATAATAATGTTGCCATTTACGTATGTATTAATTATTCAAAGCCAATGTGTGCGTTGGCACTTAACACTATCCTTTTGTTAGTAATAAGGATATTACACCTTTGACATATTGATTGATGATACACACTTTGTTACTCATGTCTTGCATTAATTTATTTCATTCACTGATTGATGGCCGCCATGTTGAAGAAGAGGAAATTTCGCGCAGCCTACTAGACAATTACAAACAAACAGTCCTGAAAGTAAAATATTTAAGCGGAAAACCATCAAACCTTTGTATGAATCACTGTGAAAGAATTAATCAAAAGCTTCAGTCAAGTCAATAAAATGGTCTGGGCTGTGAATAAAAATAATACAGATGTGGAGCATATGCTACGCTTCTCAATAGCGGAAGGAAATAGTTACACAAAAGTTAGTCGCTGTGTCTCTAATTTTGGGCACTCTACGCTGCCGTATTAGCTTTGCGGGAACCCTAAATTTAGATGTGGCATCAAAGAGGCTGCATTTTCCTGTGCAACAAAAAAAAATCCTTAAAAGAAATGAATTGGTTGCGTGTGTCGATTTGCTAATTTCGAGTATTTCTGTGATATCCATACACTGTGCAAATCTGAACAAATTTTAACGAAGGGCTATTTTACACAGTTTGGCCGGAGAGGAGCTTAAAAGTAGTGTGTGCACAATGACTGGAAGATATGGCGAGATTTACCTTCTTTGGGGTTTTCAGAGTGCCCTTCAATTTCAAATTGTGCCTCTTGCCGGTGTCTGCAGCCTATTTGCCCTTCAACGCCTGTTTTGAACAGCTAATGTCACCACTTTCGGGGATTTGTTATTACATAAGTTACTACTACATAAGTCCCTTGTCTCGGGAATTCTGAGGTTAGTGTGTTTTGTACTCCGATGACAGCATTGACGGGGCGAGAGCTAGTAAAATTGGTGATTGTCTCTCGATTAATATAATTAATGACCTGCCTATAAAATGTCGGGTTCCGTGGCTGCAAAATTTAGGTTTCGAACTCATCCGTGAGTTCGTATATATGCCTCTTATCGGGCCAAGGTGGTGGTTCTTATTCCAGTAAGTGACTGAACTGGAGCTACTAGCCAAGCATAAAATTATGATACGAGAGTTTGGCAGCTTTGCTAAGTAGGTACATAGGTACATATATATTTGGTGTTCCAAAAGTGTCTCGGTATAGATTTCAAAGTTCAACAGTTAGGGAGAGGAAACTACTCTGTATATTCTTGGCCTCGCTATTTGATCTCGAAAGGACGGTAATGACTGTCGACAACTAAGAAAACTCGGCGGCAACCATTTTTGTCCCTGCGTGAGGAAGAATGATTCAATGACCTCTAGTAGCTTGGAGCGGCAGCGAGTGTCGTAAGTCTTTGCCTAATACAGCGCCACTAGGATAGTTCCCTCATAGGGGCGACTCACTGAACTGCATATGGCGTAACATGCTGCGCTGCAGTTGATATGTAAATTATGGAAGTACAAAGGCCTAAAGTGTCTTTACTACTGCGTCAAAGAATAACCTTCCTAAAGGCCAACTAAACTACGTCGCTGCTGAAATAATAGGCCGCCTAGGTTTTGCAACCTTCTTGTAACTCGTCATTTGGCTTAGTTTATCGAAGGATATAGCATAAGCTTCCAGCAAAAAATTTTTTTTAATTTCATTCCACTTTAGAAATCTATTTAACATTTTTTTTTTTTATTTTATTTTTAACCTAATATCTTTTAAATTTTATATTTTATGGTTTTTAAAAGCAAAATATATAATTTTGGATGTTATTTAATTTTTCGAAACTAACTTTATTTATTTTTTAATACATATTTTTAAATATGTTTTGCTTGACATTTGGCTGTTTTGAAAAGAAAAATATTTTTTTTTTTAATTAATTTAACGTTTGGAAACTTATGTTACTATATTTTTTTTTTTACTGAAGTTTCTTAATTAAATTTCATTTAATTTTTACAAATTTATTTTTTATTTAACTTTTAGATTTTATGTTTTCAAATGAAAAATATTTATTTTTGAGTTCATGTAGCTTGTTTTTGTTTTTCCATTTTATAATTTAATTTTCTTACAAAGTTTAGATGTAAGCTATTGTTTTAACAATAAAAATGATTTTTTAATTTCATTAAATATTTAGAAACTTATTTTAATATTTTTTAATTTAGTTTTCTGTACATTTTTGAATAAGTATTTTATTGTTTGAGAATAAAAATATATATTTTTTTAATTTATTTAATTTTTATAGACCTCTCCTATTATATTGTTCCTCTTTTGAAGTTTTTTAATTCAAATTTTATTTAAGCTTTACAAATTTATTTTATTTACTTTTCTTTTTTAATTTAATTTTCTTAAATTTTTAAACCTTTTTGTTGAAAAGGAAATATTTGTTTCTTCATTTTTTGTGACTTTGAGGAACCTATTTTATTCTTTTTTCGTTTTTGAACTTAATTTTTAAGTATTATTTTTTTTTGATGTTAAAAATGTTTTAGTATCACTTAATTCTTTAATTTTTTTTTTGCCTTTTTGTTTGTTAATTTATTTTTTGGACTTAAATTCTTTAAAAAGGAAATTTTTTTTTTTTGCGTTTAAAAGATTTATTTCTTTACAACACTAGAAAATTCTTTCAAAGCAGGCACTAAATATGGTTTTCATATTTTCACACTAATTTTATAGACACTTATATTTGCAACAGTTGTTGTGGTGTCAGCTGCTATTTCGT